GGGGGCGGCTGGGGAAGAGGTTTGAGGGGCGGGGGGAGGGTCCAGTGTCCAACAAGCCAAACGTTTTGGATTCTCTTGATCTGTAACCGACTCAGCTCGGCCTGTTCTCACTTATCCCACGTCAGCCCCACTGCTGCTGCTGCGTGAAATCATTGCAAAGCCCAGGGTGAGCGAGTGTTACCGGGGGGGGCAGTCTGCACAGTCCCCCGCTCTCTGCTAAAGGGGCTCACCCAGGTCATTCAGGGGGTCTGGTCCCATCTGGGGAGGGGTGTCCCAGGAGCTGGGCCCTAAGCTGCCCTCTCCCTGGACCTGGAGTGGTTCAGTGTCTGTGCTGCTCCTCGGGGGGCAGGGACCTCAGCCCGGGGCCTCGGCTGGGGGGACCAGGGAGCTGGCCAGCAGGACCGGGCGGGGAGGAGTCCCCAGTGGCAGAGGCAGCACCCGGAGGAGCCCTGAAGGGTTGTCTGTGACCTCCCCGTCACACCCAGATTAAAATTGTGGCCCTAAGCCGTGTGCTCACGCGACTTGCCACCAGGCGTCAGAGTGCGCTCGCACTTGTGTTCCGTGGGAATTCAGTCCAGGGCTCCTGCCGGCTGACTGCTTAGTTACCTGCCGAAAAGGTGGGATTCCCTGGAGCCTGCCCAGCCCTTGGGTCGGGGCAAGGGGAGATCCTTGCCAGAATCTGAGCTGGCTCCCTTGCAGCTGGAGGACAGGGAGGTGGGCAGGTCCTGCGCCCAAGGAGGGGAGGAGAGGAGACGGGGTCAGTGCGTGGGGGAAGAGGCAGGGAAGGGGCAAAGCCTTGGCAGAAGAGATGGAGCAGGGGCGTGGATTTGGGGGCCCAGCTACCTGCAGTTGGAAGGGTGGCAAGCTAGTGTACCCCCCAGCATGTCGGGCTGACGGCGCGCACCGGGCCAGGAAAGGGGGAATGTCCCCGAGAAGAGGGCCCCGCACCGCGTCCCCAGCCAGCTCAGCATGGAGCTGGGGCTGAGAGCCCGGGCGCCAGGAGAAACCGCAGCAGCCTGTCCCGGATCTGCCGGGTCCGCACCCCGTAGATGATGGGGTGCAGCATGGGGGGCATCAGGAGGTAGACGTTGCCAATGAGAATGAGGAGGTGCAGGGGCACGTGGCCGAAGCGGTGCGTGAGGGAGGAGAAGAATTCCGGGATGTAAAAGGTGGAGATGGCGCAGAGGTGGGAGCCGCAGGTCCCGAAGGTCTTGAGCCGGGCGTCCTTGGTGGGCAGGCGGAAGATGGCCCTGAGGATCTGGGCGTAGGACAGGAGGATTAGCAGCGCGTCCAGGCCGATAGCGGAGAACAGCACGAAGAGGCCGTAGTAGCTGCTGACGCGGACGTCGGCGCAGGCCAGCGTCACCACGGCGATGTGGTCGCAGAAGGAGTGGGGGATGATGTTGGTCCTGCAGTACGGCCACCGCCTCACCAGGAAGGGGTAGGGCAGGGCGAGCACACCGCTGCGCAGCGCCACGGCCAGGCCCATCTTGGCCACCACCGGCTTGGTCAGGATGGTGGAATGTCTCAGGGGGTGGCAGATGGCCACGTAGCGATCCAACGCCATGGCCATGAGGGTGCCAGACTCCATCGCAGAGAAGCAGTGAATGAAGAACATCTGGGTGAGGCAGGCACTGAAATCGATCTCCCGGGCATTGAACCAGAAGATGCTCAGCATTTTGGGCACCGTGGACGTGGAGAGGACCAGATCGGTGACGGCCAGCATGCAGAGGAAATAGTACATGGGCTCGTGGAGGCTCGGCTCCGTCTTCACGATGAAGAGGATGGTGAAGTTCCCCAAGAGGGCGATGGCGTAGATGATGCAGAAGGGGATGGCGATCCAGACGTGGGCCCCCTCCAGGCCAGGGATGCCCTGCAGGATGAAGGTGGAGGGGTTGGTGAAGAGGGTGGTGTTGGAATCTGACATGGTGCGGGGGAGCTGTCCCGCGCTGAGGTCGAAGGGGGTCTCCTGCAGGTGCTGTGTGTTCCCCTGACTTCCTGCATGTGCCCAGGGGCTCAGGTGATGGTCACTCTGCCAGTGTCTGGAAGGGGAGACAACGTGGGCATGAGACAAGGCGGGAGGCAGGGGAAGCCGACGGGTTGCTCTTCACACCCAGAAACCGACACTCACATCACTCAGAGAAGGGAGCGATGAACCCCTGGCTCCCCCATACAGATCCCACACTTTGCAGGGCCCATGGCTCTTCATTCCTACCCGCAGCAGGAAACACCTGCGGCCCCACCACTGGGCATCCCTGCCACACTGGGCTCCCCAGTCACCCCCTTGCTCAGAATCTCAGAGTGGAAAGGAGCCAACCAGTTGCCAAGCCCCGGGCTGGGGGACACGGCCCAGGAAAAACCTGGCATGTCACTGGTCGGAGCGCCCTGGAAACGCTTGCTCACTCGCAGCCATGGCCAGAAAAACCCCTCGCTGAGATGCCCAAGGGAGGGGATGGAAGAGCTGCTGGCCGGGGCCGTTGCTGTGTTTGCTCACCTGGGCTCCAACAGGACCTGGTGGCTGGAAGCAGGCTGCCTGGACAGGCTGTGGGAATGGGGGGATGCCCTGCGTGAGTGTCTACACGGGTCTACTGACCAGCCGGGGTGCGCTGTCCTGGAATCACAGAATCCTACGGCAGGCAGAGCCGTCAGGAGTCATCGCGTCCAGCCCCCTGCCCAAAGCAGGACCAACCCAACTCAATCATCCCAGCCAGGGCTTGTCAAGCCAAGACTGAAACCCCCCTAAGGATGGAGATTCCACCCCTCCCGGGGGAACCCAGCCCAGCGCTTCCCATCCACCTAGTGAAATAGTTTTTCCTAATATCCAACCTGGACCTCTCCCACCACAACTTGAGCCCATTGCTCCTTGTTCTGCATCTGTCACCACTGAGAACAGCCTCTCTCCAGCCTCTTTGGAACCTCCCTTCAGGAAGTTGAAGGCTGCTCTCAAATCCCCCCTCACTCTTCGCTTCTGCAGACTAAACAGACCCAACTCCCTCAGCCTGTCCTCATAGGTCATGTGCTCCAGCCCCCTAATCATTTTGTTCGCCCTCCGCTGGACCCTCTCCAATGCGTCCACATCCTTTTTGTAGTGGGGGGCCCACAACTGGACACGACACTCCAGATGTGGCCTCACCAGAGCCGAATAAAGGGGAATAATCACATCTCTGGATCTGCTGGCAATGCTCCTCCTAATGCACCCTAATATGCCATTAGCCTTCTTGGCTACAAGAGCGCCCTGTTGACTCATCTCCAGCTTCTCATCCACTGTAACCCCCAGGTCCTTTTCTGCAGAACGTCTACTTAGCCAGTCGGTCCCCAGCCTGTAACAATTCTTGGGATTCTTCCGTTCCTAGTGCAGGACTCGGCACTTCTCCTTGTTGAACTTCATCAGATGTTTTTTGGCCCAATCCTCCAATTTGTCTAGGTCACTCTGGACCTTATCCCTGCCCTCCAACGTACCTACCTCTCCCCACAGCTTAGTGTCATCCACAAACTTGCTGACGGTGAAACCCATCCCCTCATCCAGATCATTAGTAAAGATGCTGAACAAAACTGGTCCTAGAACTTGAAACCCACTGGCAACCTGACATCGACTTGTTGGGCCCGACAGTCTAGCCAGCTTTCTATCCATCTTACCATCCATTTATCCAATCCCTTCTTCCTTAACTTGCTGGCAAGAATATTGTGGGAGATCGTATCAAAAGCCTTGCTAAAATCAAGGTATATCACATCCACTGACTTTCCCATGTCCACAGAGCCAGTTACCTCGTCATAGAAGCTAATCAGATTGGTCAGGCATGACTTGCTGTTTGTGAATCCATGCTGACTATTCCTGATCACTCTCCCGTCTTCCAAGAGCTTCAAAATGGATTCCTTGAGGATCCCCTCCATGATTTTTCTGTGGACTGAGGTGAGGCTGATGGGTCTGTAGTTCCCTGGATTGTCCTTTTCCCCTTATTTAAAGATGGGCCCTACATTTGCCTGTTTCCAATCATCCGGGATTTCTCCCGATCTCCACGAGTTTTCAAAGATAATAGCCAAAGGCTCCGCAATGACATTTGCCAACTCGCTCAGTACCCTCGGATGCATTAAATCCAGGCCCATGGATTTGTGTCTGTGTAGCATGGGTGTGTTGCCCTGCGTGGGTGAGCCGCCGTGCCTGGTGCATGGCAAAGCCTGGGGCAGGCTCGCTCAGAGGAGAGACGAAAAAGGGGACGTGCCAGTGGAGAGCGGCTGATTGTTACATTTGAACAAACTGCCGGAGCAGTTCCCCGCTGGCGCTCTCTGCGGACACGCAGGCCCAGGTGTAGCACGTTGCTCTGGCGCGGTGGTTCCGGGCTGGTTTTAACGGCAAACCCTCGGGGAATCTCCCTGCATAGCAGGGCCTTGTGGGCACTGGAAACCGGTCCCTGTGGCGCAGGTGCTACTCACGCCCCATCCCCTTCCCGATGGCCGCCCCCGAACAAGCACCTCACCCCTGCCGGGCCTGGCCTGAGCCGGGGGAGCTAGCCGGCGCCATTGGCGGAACATGGCCAGCAAAAGCCATTTGGGAGGGAAGCGCCAGGCAGAGCATGGGACTGAGAACTGGGATTTCTTTGAGGGGAGTTAACTAGCTAGGGGAAAAGTCCTAGGGCCCAGCCAGGCAAGTGGGCCAGGCTGGCTAAAAGCAATCAGGGCGAAGGCCAACGGAGCCAAGGGGCAAAGGCCGGCCAGCACTACAAACTGGAAGTTCTGGCCATTCTAAGCGACACTAAAGGCGGCAGGGCAAAGGGGCGCACAAGTACTAAGAACAAGACAAATTCTACACAGGTTTTAGGGCAATTCCGGTGATAAATGTACAGTCATGAAAAAAAAGGGGGAAAAGCTTAAAAAAGATTCAACAAGGTTGAGAACAAATGGAAGAGCTGCCATGGGCTTGGTTTGAAAAAATCTGGGACTCTCGTGATTGCCAATCAACTGCAGGGTCTATGAATACCAGGGCTTGGCAAATCCACTGCAGGGCAGGCGCCAGGGAGGGTGCGAGGGACGGGACGCAGCCGTGGGAGCAGCCCAGGGTGCGGGGGCGCGGAGCTTGGAAGGAGGTGCTGAGGGGGCGCGACAGCGCTCTGGCGAGGCAGGGAGGGTGGCCTGGGAACGGCGGAGGGACGTTTCTGCCTTGCCACGGAAGGTGGGGCCAGCGGCAAAGGCAGCAGAGTCCAGCAGAGCAGACTTAGGTTCAAACTCGGGCCCGACTTGGTTTGTGAAAATTCCAGGCGACTCGTTGCACAAACGAGAGGAGACGTCCGGCCCAGGCTGGATCCCAACGTTGGCTCGTTCCAGTGAGGGGCCCTGCCCCCCCCCATGGCTTCTAGCGACACATGTCAGGGGGCAGCCCCGGCCCCTTCCCACCAGCGCCCTGCGATGCGGAGGGGCAGTGCCCCCCCCGCCCTCTGACCAGCTCTCGCTGCCGGGGGAGCTTCCCCAGTGGGGCCTGAGCAAAATGCTGCCCGGCCTGAGGGCTGGTTTGGTACCGAACGTCTGCCCCCCCGCTCAGCCCAAGGGCCCCTGTGCACAGAGATGCAGCCACCTCGGGGGTGGAGCCCATGTGTGGGGACAGGCAGGGGTGCACAGAAGAGGGTGACATTTTTGGCCCATGATACTGGAGAAAATTCACTCATGTGGCAGGGCCCTGGGAGGTTTAATGGCTGGGAAGAACGCGAAGAACCCCAGACCGACTCTGCCCCTCACACCCACGCTGCCCTGGGGCTGTGGGGGCGGGGAGGAACTGGATGTGTGGGGCAGGGGACCCCCTCAGCCAGAGCTGGTACCTGTGAGTGCTGAGAGGGACGTGTCTTCCCTGGGAACCCCCCTCAGGCAGCCGCGTCCCCACCTCTCTCAGCCCAGCGTCTGCAGCAGCGTCCGGCGCTGAGAGCTGGCACAGGGCTGGGCACTGGTTATAACCCAGCTCTGGGCCGTCCCGGGGGGGTCGCTCGGCCTTGGGGGAGAGGCAGCATCTGGACACAAACAAGCTGTCGGTGCTTCTGAGCTAATTACAGTCGAGGGCCCTCCGAGGGCAGAGCAGACGCCTGGGCTCTGGGCTGCCAGAGGGGAGCTGGCTGCCCGGTGCCTGTTCGCAAATCCCCCGGCTGCCCTCTCTGCCAAGGAAGCTTCGAAGGCTCTGCCTCCCCTTCCAGCCCTTCCTCTGCCTCCCAGCCAGCGAACAGCCCATTTCCCCCTGGGTGCGCTCAGCAGGGCAGCCCATAGCCCTGGCTTTCGTGTGCCATCCTGCCGCTCCTTCCGTGCCTGACCCTGGCCAGGCAATGGTTTCCCTTGCCTCAGTTTCCCTTGCCTCAGTTTGCCTGGCCATAGAGCAGGGATCAGTCTCCCCTTCCAGCCCTTCCTCTGCCTCCCAGCCAGCGAACAGCCCATTTCCCCCTGGGTGCGCTCAGCAGGGCAGCCCATAGCCCTGGCTTTCGTGTGCCATCCTGCCGCTCCTTCCGTGCCTGACCCTGGCCAGGCAATGGTTTCCCTTGCCTCAGTTTCCCTTGCCTCAGTTTGCCTGGCCATAGAGCAGGGATCAGTGCTCAGCAAGTTCCCTTTGCTAGGGGCTCTGCAAGGACAGGTGGTGCCCAGGGCAGTGATATTTCTGAGAATTCCTGAGCCCTGAGCCCCTTGTAACGGCCCATGCGTGGCTCTAGAACGTGCTTGTGTCTCCTCTCAGTCATCTGTCTGCCTGCTGGCTACCAGCCCCTCCTGGGCATTGGCCCCCTCCAGCCCAGGCAGCCCCCGCTCACCCTCCTGTCAAGGCTGCTCCGCACCCTGGCACTTTGGGGGCAGAAGGTGGGGCTGCTACGAAAGGCTGGTGTTCAACCCCCCAGGGTCACAGACTCCCCAGCCTGGGACCGGACTTGCTGCCACCCCCAAATGCACAGCCCCCGGAGAGCCCAG